GCCATAGTAGGAACTGGGCGGCCAAATCCGTAAATGGCCAAAATCCCCTCGCATTGAACAGCAAAGGTCGGGATTCGGACTACCAGTTTACGAAATGGCATCGGACGATCGGCAAAAGTCGAAGGAAAAGGGTTATGAGCAGATTTTGGGTTTGTATAATCCCGTAATATTAATCACACTATAATGATTATTAAGGATACTAAATTATTATATGTGGCAAATTAGTTTATTATAGTAAATTATCAAACTCTATCATCACGTGCTACAATACGACGAACTTTTATAATATTCCGATATATATAGCTGTTAGTTATTTGGACATTTGCAATGATTTGTTGAGCATTTAGTATTGCAAGTGCGGCGAGTGTAGCCTTGGCCGCCGATCAGCTTTTGTGAATTCGCGACGGTTGGCAGTGATTTTTTCTGTGACCAGAGATGACAATGTGAGCAAGTTCTCGTCTAGAATGGAAAGCTAACTTCTGGAATACTTTTTGAGAAAACGGTTTTCTGTTTCTAGCTTGTAGAAAGTGCCCTCGACGTTCATGACAACCGCAAAGACGCTTTAAGGATCACCGCAACGTCCGTCAACATCTGGTACACGGATGTGTACATCATCATCATCATCATCAGTGGCACTACTGCCCATTTAGGGCCCTGGCCTGCTCCAAAACATCCTTCCACTCGGAGCGATCCATGGCTTTCCGTCTCCATATTTGAACCCCCAACTGGTGTAAATCTGTCTCCACATCACCAATCCACCTCATTCTTGGGCGACCGGTTAGCCGTCTACCCCTAGACTTCTGCCTGTATATAATTTGTTTGTGTGTACATCATCTCCAAATATTGCTGGTGGGCATTTGGCACCTGAATTTGTTTAAAGTCTTGACATCTTGAGTTTGCAAACTAAAATGAGTTGCTTGCATCTTGTTCCTTATTTTTATTTTATTATTATTATTAGGTAGTTTTATATAGCGCACTACCCAATTCTAGGGCTAGGCTCACCGCCGTGCACATAAAAATTAGCACATACAGAAACGTATATTTTAAAATACAACAAAATTCGAGAAACTCGAAATGACCGGCCAATGCGTTTACTAGCTGAACTTCGGGCTTTGGCCGTAACAGATATATATATATATATATATATATATAATGTATGGGTGTGTAACCGTTGCACCTATCCCCGAATGTAAAGAATTTAACATAAATATACATTAAAAAAATATCAAATATTACCTTTCTTTTTCAAGATGCAGCTGAGAACGATAATAAATAATATCAATAATACACCTCCACATGTTAATGAAGATATCAATATCATTTTGTTAGATCCATCTGTTACATAAAAATAAATAATATGATTATATTTATTAAACTTTGTTCCCAAAGGTAAGCCACTACCTAAATTGATTGCTTAGTAAATATTTTTGTTCAATTTCATTAAATACATTATCAAACCATGAACATATCGATTGAAATTACAGTATTAAAGTGACCAAAAGAAAAAAATATATGAGCTGGAATCTAAATGCCAATGCAGGAACTAAATGGGTATTTAGTCGAAAAAATAACTCTCAAAAAAAAATAATAAAAAAGAAATTTAATTGGAAATTAAGCTATGGCATGCTTTATTGTAAATATTATATGTCAGCTTAAGAAACATGAAATAAAATGTATAGCAAAGCCTTAAGATAATTGCTAAACAATTTTGATGGATGTTTAACCAATGAAATCAATGACAAAGTATATATATATAATATATATATATATATATATATATATATATATATATAATATATATATATATATATATATCAGTTATTTTGTAAATGTTTAGACTTATTGGATCTGAATATTTTGTATCTTTCCGTTTTTAATGCTTCTTTTTAACTGGCAAATGTACCCAGCGTGCCACGTGGTTTAATTTTTTTAAAAATGACACAACTCTACAACCTTTTATCTAAAATCAAAATCAGGGGACTCTAAAAAACATATCGCTACGAAAAAAAATTACTTGCTTAAATTTCTACTCTAAAAAGCAATTTGATTCTCAAGGGATCCCATTTCCCTTAAGGATAATATTTCCAGCGTTCCCTGTTGTGATTTCATCCTAATGGGATCATGAACAAAATGTGATCCTGTTTAAATCCCATACCGAAGGGATCCAGATCCCGTTATGATCCCGACTCGATGTCATCCCGATGTGGCCTCCTTACCAGTTGGAACCCTTTCTCGGTTGTGTGCAAATCCCATTTGGATTCTGTTTACAAATGGGATCCCATACACCGATGGTATTCTTATCCTAGTGGGATACCGAACCCAATCGGAATCCATCCCCGATGCTATCCCAAATAGAATCCCGAATGGCATCCCGATCCTATTGGGATCCCGATGGTATTTTGTTAGCGTTTCCATTGAGATCCCGACCACATTGGGATCACGATCCAGACGAAGTCCAGATCCCGAGGGAATAATGGTGATTACCAAGTGTGATCTGATTTCCAAGTAGGATCCCATTGTCGTTCGCGGTGTGATTATTTTCCATTGGCATCCCGAACCTGTTTTAACCTGTATACAAATGGGTTCCTATTTTAAAATCGTTTCTCGTTCCCGATGCAATCCCAATTCGTTCCGACACCGATTGGTCTCTATCGTGATAGATACCGATCCGTTTCAACCAAGGTATCCCTTTTTTACCGTGGAATGCCATTTCCCGATCGGATCCTTACCAATTGAGATTCCATTCTCTGTAAGATCCCTTGTCGCGGTGGGATTCACCTCCACTATGGGATAACATTCCCCGATGTAATACAGCTCGTTATATGACCCCGTTTTCAGTGGAATCTAGTTCCCATTGAGTTCCGCGTACATAAAGCTTAGGCAATAATAATAAACAATTTAATTTGGAACGTTCTTGAACTTTTATTATAATCTTTAATTCTTATTCCATTACATTTGGAAAAAAAAAACAATGAAAGTTAAGGACATATACTAAACATGAAGAGAGCGTTTATTTGATAAGTTGAAGATTCTTCAATATTCTAGAATTCTGTGAATCTTATAAAACTATGACCACGCGATAATAAAGAAAAAACCAAATGAAACATAATAATAAAGATATAAGTCAGATAAATAGTAAGGTTGAAATATAAAAGCTTTTTAAATTTATCATCAAACATTCTGGAAAAGTTTAGACCGGCGTTGTATGGATATTTTCATTTATATCCATCAACAATGAAGTCTGTTGCTACCAAGCTAGGCCTAAATCCATGTACGAACATAGAACCTTTACCGTAGTATAAGGCTATTGAAACTTTAAAGCTCATAGAAGGAAAAATGAAACGGGACTTCCGCCCCCCCCCCCCAAAAAAAATGGATATTATGAGTTCAGTACCCTTCGCTATATGAATATGAATAATCAAGTGAATGTGCACTGAGTTTGGTCAAAATGCATTAATTCATGTAGGTATATTGCTTGGTCATTTTATATCTAAAGCTCATACAAGGAAAAAAGAAAGTATTTTGATCTCCCTGGAACAGACGGATAACATTTAAAAAATCAAAACCATTTAAGAGTTTCTTACGAATAATGATGGATATATGTGCCAAATATTTGTCAAATCCATCAATCCATGTAAAAACGTATGTTAAACAAAGCAACAAACCCACCCATTTTCACTGATATATATATATAATATGATAAGGACAGAATAATTATACACTATTACCGTAAGTGATATTTGCTTTACAGTTCTTTACGTCTTTATATTTTAATAACATGAGATAGCAAAGAAAGTACCGTAACACTCACAGAGATTAAAATAATTGACACTTACATTCAACATTTGTCTTATAAAAAACAGGATCACTTTCCCACCCAAAAATATTTGTTGCCCGACAAATGAAGCCTAGAAATTAATACAGAAATATATGTGTGTAAAAATTTAAGACGTATCTCGCTTTGTTTATTAAACATGTATTAATGCAGTTATAGATTATTCTGACTTTGGTACTGTAGTAGAAAATACATTTATATATGTTAATAATTATATTGCAAATTTTCCATTTTAGCAACAAAATATATATTATAGGTGGTGTATGTATATATATATGTATGCATATATATTAAATGTATATATATATATATATATATATATATATATATATAAATATATATATATATATATATATATATATATATATATATATTTAAATATCAATATATATATTAAAAATATATATTATATGTTGTGTATATATATATATATATATGTATATATATTAAATATATATATATATATATATATATATATATATATATATAAATATATATATATATATATATTTATATATACATATATATATTTAAATATCAATAAATATATTTTTAAAATTCTAAATAAACTACGCTCGTAAAACCTTTTAATCTACCTTCGTTTTAAAAAAAATATCTCTTGCCTGATAATCAAAGCGATATGTTTTGCTTTTGTTTTGAAATAATATTTGTGTTTAAACGCCATTATCCTTTAAATATTCCAACGAATCTCTAATGTGTGTTTGACCACAATCCAATTTGTGTTTCGTAAGCAGACAAAAAGTGAAAAAAAATAATTTTAAAAACGTGTTGGATTACCTGTCTCCGTTAGGTTAGCGTCAACTTTAACATCTAATGATGGGAAACGTCGTATCTCTTTACCAGAGAGGTCATACAAAACTATGTGTCCTTTTGTGAAGTTGTCATTTCTTCCCTGACAAGTACAGACAGCTTTGTTTGATTCCTTCCCATCGCTAGAGCAGTTTACAAGCTGTACGCTTGGCTTTTCTTTACACAAACAAATTAAACAGTTAAAGGCATCAATTTTAAAATTAAATGTAACATTTGTATGTAATTAATAAAAATAAAAATAATACAACAAGTAAACAAAACTAAGCTCAATAGTAACAAATACAAATTGATTACTTAGATTTACTAACCAAATGTTATCAATAAATTATAGCTCGTCCCATATAAAACATCTGTGTCATTGTTGGTGACATTTGGGTACATTGTGACATTTACATCACAATTTCCTGACCTTAGACTTGAATTAGGCAGCAAAAAAGTGCAAGCACTTGTAAAATACGTCGGTGTTTCCATCAATACCTCATGTCTTGATTGAATATTTAACTTTCAGAAGAAAACATATTTATTGAAATAAAGTGTATGCTCTAATAAAAAATTTGAAATACTTTGCTCGTTTGAAAATGGCAAAAAGAAATGGTTGTATTTAAAGCAAGTTGTTCGTTTAAAAACATGAGAATAGACAAAAGGAAATGCCATGTTAACCATAATACTTTTTATCTACTTTATATATATATATATATATATATATATATATATATATATATATATATATATACTTTTGTAAAAATATAAAACAAAATATATTTTTTTTATATATTTTATATATATATATATATATATATATATATATATATATATATATATATATATAGGCTTTTGAAAAAATACAACGCAACTTAAATTTTTTTTAGCTAAAATGCTAATGCTCAGTTGTACTTTCATCCGCTATCTTTCCATTCCTCTGAGTTTTGTTTTTGCTAAGGACTTTTGCTCATTCTTATTCTTTACTTTATTTAAATTGAGTAGACACTTTTACGATATTTTCCTACTGATAATGATATTTACCAAACGTTTTTTTTTTCTAATCATTAACAGAACTAAAATCATATTGTTTTATTTACAAAAAATGTTTCAATTATTATACTTAGAAGCTTTTGCCCAGTCCAACCTTTAAAAAAATGCAAAGTATTAATTGAAAAAAGGCACTAACCTGACTCAAAGTTGCAATTTAGGAATAGCCAGCAATTGAGCTTAACACGATTTTAAAATAATTGTTTCATTTACTTATTTTTAAATTCACTTTTTTTTTCTAATAAACCATTGAACATATTATATTAGATGCATTTACAACTATTAAAACTAATTTTAAATTAAGGCCATACTCTTGGCAGCTTATGACCAAAATCGTAATAACCGAAGGGAGCTTCAGAAATATTTGGTATGCCCTTTTTCCAATCTCTTGTTGCTGTTATAAAATAATGTTTTCTGACTTTTTTATCGATGGGTTAGTGTCAGCTTTAAAGAAGTTTGGTCAATTAGCCCGGATTTTGTGAGGGAGGATGGGGGAGCTGGTTTTCAATTAAAATAAGTTCACTAAACTGCTTACGAAAGTTAACACAAATAATTATAAAGGATATTGTCCTGCGATTCGTTTCTTAAGGATGAGGAAAGGTCTGGGGCAAGCGCATTGGCAATTCAGTTTTAACAACGCAATTCTCTTGAAGATAATATTATGCTCGATTTATTGAGATCGAGACCGCAGAGGTCAATCACCGTTATTCTTATTCGATGGCTTACGGTGTTACACAAAAAATGAGGTAATTTTTTTATTGAAAACATCCTCATTATTTATTTTTTAAAATTAAAATTAATCCCAACAATCGTAAAAGAAAATCAAGAAACTGTAGTTTTTTTTTAGGTTCGTCGTAATGCCGTAGACTTAGGCTTCAAAGCGTAGTTACTACGGCGAAAGCATAGGGATTATCAGTTATGTGATAGGCAGTTGGATGGCTCAGTTTTGTCAAGGGATTAATTCTTAATTTTGCTTACCATTAATGATTTATTATTACGAGAAAATGACGCACTTACCAATTTCATCTTTATTCGTGAAGTAAATATATGATTTTTACAAAAATATTATCATAATCTACAACGCTGTTAAGGACTTGCATGTATATGTGATTTCGCGTTGTTTGGAGAGTATTTGGGTTAATTTTGCTAGTAAATGCTTGGTATTTTGTGACGTATTTTGCTAAGCGTAAATGACGTTTTAGAGTGGTTGTTATGATGTGGATCTATGGCTGTGCCAAAGAGTTAGATTTTCGCTGTGTATTATATTTGAATAAAGATACGTTTGATTTACGAGGCATTGATTTTTTAAATTAAAAATGAATAATGCCCAGACAAACGAAGCTAACCAGCCTTGGTAAGGACCGGTTCGTAAGAAACGCCAAACACAAATCTAACAACAACTTCATGATCGTTTAACTCACTAAAAACATAGAAAAAACTAAATAATTTCCTGACACTCTCAGAATAAAGGTACACTATGCCATATATCCTAGTGCTCCCAGCATATAAACATTCTAAAAAGTTGTTTGACACTGAATCTTAAACCAATGACAGTTAACCATTAGGAATACATTTCCCTCAAAACTCAAGACCTAAACATATTCTATACACAAACTAAAATACGCTAAAATCATATCAACATTTACATAACAAAATATAACAGTTTGGTGTCTGCTTTACCACTCAAAATAAGTAAAGATGTGAGAGATTGGGATTTAAATAATAAGTGAGAATGAGAGAGACCGAGAGAGAGCTGAAAATCAGAGAGGTACACATACACACACGCACAGAGAGAGAGAGAGAGAGAGAGGGAGAGCGAGATGGGAGCGTGAGAGAGAGAGATAGTACAGATATAACGGAGATGACATGAAAATGATTTGTAGATGTAACCTACTTTTTGTAAAGTATTATTTATATAAACATGACATCTTCCTTGTGGATATATACTTTGGGCTGAACATGTTACTATTACTCCAGTTCGAGATATATTTGAGGCACATGAAAATCTTCTTGCTTTTGCTGCGTATTATAAAATGAATGCATCAAAGCCTTATATAGGTTAGTGAAATTTATTTTTAAATAAAAATGAGTATTTAAAATGGAAATATTTCATATGCAATGAGATTTCTTCACAGACACATACTTCTAAAACATACTAAATGAATACTCACAAAACACTAATGGCCTGCATTCAAGACGGCTTTGAATTTTAAACGGGTTCAAAAACGAAGTAGAAAACAGCAGACCATTGAATTGGTGATTCCTAGAGATATTTCTTATCGTCAGTATCAAAATTTTATTTCCATAATATTCCTGCATGCTAAGGTTGACGTAACCAGAAGAAAAGGCGCGACACGTGTTAGTAATTAATGAACAGTTTCCAATGGTCTTACGATCTGCCTTAATTTGAATGGTTTCTTTAAAATCATTTGAACCATACAAAAAACTAAACTGATAATCTTTGAATTCTTCAGCAGGATTACATGATTTGGTGTGTTGTACCCCTGAAAAATATGTGTTTTATATGATCAAGTAATTAATATAGATATAACTTTTCAGATGTTCTTTTTTGTTGGAATTATTATTAAAGTACATTTTAATTTTATATTTCCTAGTAATAGATTAATTTCCCATTTAAACGTTATTATAAGCAATATTTTGTTAGGAAAGGGATATATTAAAATATTATTTAGGCATAATTAGTGTCTTTTTCAAAGAATAAACTAAGAGTATTTTCTAAAATTCTATGCTTGGGGATATATTTTTGGTAATGGTTCTTTTCATACTAAAGTGAATTCATTAAAAACTAGACCACTTCAAGAATTCCTTTTTTGTATCAATAGTATTCCAGTGGTGATGGAAGAATTTTATAATCATATTTCACAAGAAGAAAATAAAAATAATACAATTGGTGATTAATATTGAAAATTTTAAAAAGTTTTGCACCAACAAATATAATTGGCATATTTAAACGTGTAAAATGTAAATAGCATCCTGCGGGTATTTATGTCATTACATCATTTGCTGCATATAATATTAAAACTTACCATCACTACTGCAGTAAACACATAACATTAATCCCATGCTATAGGCTATGAAATTAATTGCCACATTCATCCTTCAAAGTCTTGAATATCTCTCTTACATGTCCTTTTTATGTTGTTATAATAAAAATATTTATAACATTAGACATGTCGACAGTTTGTTTTCTTTTTAGAATATGTTAAACTAACAAACGGCTAGGTACCTGTTCGTTAAACTAAAATATTTCATTGTATTATATGTATAGTGCTTTAATTATTTGGACATTATTGACAACCTGTGTCTTAGAATGGTTCACGCTAACCGCTTTCAGTGCATCGATGGAGGATGGTGATGAAGATATCATTGCACATAATAAAGGCTTGACTAAAAACACCATTTAACAAATATTAGTCTTTATCTATCTATCTATATATATATATATATATATATATATATATATATATATATTTATTTAAATAATATTAGTGATAAAGATATCATTACACATAATAAAGGCTTGACTAAAAACACCATTTAACAAATATTAGTCTTTATCTATCTATATATATATATATATATATATATATATATATATATATATTAATTTAAATAATATTCTAAAAGTAAAATGTCCCACATGAAAAGCTCTGTGATTTATTTAATTTGAATACATTTAAAATAACACATTGTAACAGACACAAGGAAATTAAATAGGTAGCTCTCTTGAACATTTAAAACAGACGCACTTTAAGTGAATCACACATCTCATAAAATTAAATTTAATATCCGGAACAAAGGTTTATAGTCTCGTACTTGTTTATTTTTGTTTTAATTAATATATCTATCTCATCTCCAGAGGCGTAGCGAGGGGGGTGCAGGGGGTACAGATGTCCCCGGGCGCCAGGTAGTTAGGGTGGCCAAAATGTTCTTTGATGTTATTTTATTGATAAAAATAATGAGTTTGAGAGTTGAAAAAAAGAAAAAGGGGCGCTTTAAAATGGATCTTGTCCCCTGACGCGAATCTTGTCCCCGGGCGTTAAACACCCTCGCTGGGCCGCTGCTAATCTCTTGATCATTTTACATCTTTAAATGTATCTATTTACAAATATATCTCTTTCTTCATATATATATATATATATATATATATATATATA